GGGAGACCTGTTGATACTTCGCTCACCTTCCTGCGTTCGCTGCCGTGTCGTGTTTAAATGCTCGCAGCGTGCTCGGATCCCTCCGTGTGGTGCGAGTGAAGGACGTTCCTCCTTCCCAAGGAATTGTTTTTTTCGGGTTGATGGGAGACCTAGGAGAGAAAATATTGTAATTTTCGTTTTTGTCTCGTGTTTCAGTCTCACTGCAGTTACTCTGATGGGTTTCCTGTTCTTGTGCTCAGCCTTCCCATCCAGAAGTCGTGATTCACAGAATTAAGAGCTGCTTTTTCTTTCCGCAGTTCCTGTATGCCCATTCTCTAACTATTCATAATTTTCATTAATCAGTCGTCTCATTCATGTTCCCATTCTTTTTTAAAATATATTTCGAGCATTTTAACAGGATGTTTTGGGCTTTTTTCCTAGTTACAGCAAGAGGTTCCTGGCAGCAGTGTCTTGTTAGAACAACGATTGTGTTCTGTAATGGACATAGTGAGAATTCTTGCTTTTGGCTCTTTTCTTTCTAATGAAAAGGTGGAAGGGGAAGAAAGGCTCCTGTGGAAAGCCATCCTGCTGACTTGACCGTGTCTGTGGAAGATGGTGACAGTGAGAACATTCTTGTAGGGTTTGTGTTGGTGATGGCACCGCTCTCCTCATCATCCCCTCTGAGAGCAGGGTCAGTGCAGTGCTGGAAATGCTTTTGGCTGGTCCCTGTCCTGCAGAGGCCATCCTGCACCATGGTGTTGGCTGTGGAGCTGCCCTGCTTGTTTTGCACCAGCTGGGCATTCTAGGAAAACATGGGATTACAATAGAAAAGGAAGCAAGAATGCACTGCGGTGTGAATGAGTGAAGCTGACAGGAAACAATACCAAATGTTTCCAGTGCTGTGCTAACTGGACTGACCAAGTGGAAGTATCTGCTCTCCTGAGAGCTCCCTGATAGAAATGTGGGGTCTTGTTGTGGTATTTCAGCAAGGTAAAGACCACTCTAATGCTGTTCTCCATTCTTAACCTCTTCCCAACTTGGATGTTTTGATGCTGTGTTGAATATATTTATTTAGATTGGCTACATCTACTTAGATTCTGCTTTTAAATGACAGATCATCCCTTTAGCAGCAGTTCTGCTGCTGTCAGTTTTACTGCTGTTCCTTGCTTACAGGAGTGCTGGTAAGTTTAGGAATTATTTGTGACTGGGTAAAGTCTGTTGTGTTTCTGAATTCCCAGTTTAGCTGAAGTCCACATACTCAGCTCCGTTTTTATAATTTACTTAAATGATTGGGAAAGCTGACACTAGTTCTCATTTTTGTCATTGCAGAGATTTTTCCTGTCTATTTGTCTGTTCTCTCCCAGCCTTTCAGATGTCTACAGGGCTCAGCATTCCAGGAAAAAACTGTCATCCTTACATCCTCACAGCTGTGATGTTACTTATTTGTCACAGCGTGAGAGATAAATAACAGAATTTGTGTTTGTATGTAGCCTTATAAATGTTGCGCTTTAATTACATGAAATTCATGTCCCAGAAGGCATTCTGGCCACTGGTTAGGTTTTTGCTAACTTTTAAAATTCTTTGGAGTTGAACAGTGTGCCAGAGTTTATAGCCCTGTGCTGTAGTTCCTGATATGGTCGATTTAAAACCCTTCAGCTCCAACACAAAACCGTGTCCCATGTGCTAAGAAACAGGCTGGATGCCTTCCAAATACTTCTGAAAAACGTCTTGGAAAGAAAATGAGTGCTTTGCTTGGAATTTAGCTGTTCAAGGTGATCGTCTGTGAGTCACTGGAATGGTGCTTGAAGTTGGCTGCGAGCTGCAGGCCCAAGGTGTGCTGGTTCAGGGGCAGAGTGTGTGTGAGTGGGGAATGCAGCTCTGCCATCCCAGAGCTCTCCTCCTCCCTGCCCAGCCTCAGGACTGAAAGCATGGCAGAATCTGCTTAGCGTGGCAATATAGGCTAAACAGCTTGGAAAACAATTTCCAAGGTTGGATAACTGTCAGAAGAGAACATCTCTGAAGAGCTCTTTGGCTTAGATTTGAAGTGACACTTGGACAATGCACAGGATTTTCTGGGTAGAGGATGGACCTGTCTGAATCTGATTTTATTTTCCTGCTCTCCTTTCTGAAGATGCCTTGCTGCAGGGCTGTGTATGGTAGTTTTGGAATTCCCTGTTAATTTTGCATTTCAAATTAATTATTTTTAAAAAGAGTGATTAGGACCTGGAGGTTTATCCTCTCTGCAAGCACACTTGAATAAAATGTGGAAACACTTCCAACTTTTCTCTTTCCTATGAGGCAGCTGAGAACATTCTTCAGGTGTTGTTTAGCAACTGTGTGCCACAGTGCTGTGTACATGCACTGTGCTTCTTCTAGAACAAACTAAATTACTGTGCTATATTGAGATTAATCCTTGTAGACAGTGGGCAAGAAATCCTGGTTTTTGAGGCACACTCATGGTTTAGACATCCGTTCTCATGGCCAGTTGTTGCTGCATAGGTATGGCTGATTCCCTGCTGCCTTCCTTTCCTCTTCCTGCTCTTTTAGGAGTGTGTGTGTGTGAGGATCCAGACTCCAGCATGGGTCAGTTGAGGGCAGGAGGCACATTTTGGGCTGCAAAGTGATGATTGCTGGAGAACAGGGATTCTGCCAGCCCGTTTCTTGCATTCACTAGGACTCTGCTCCACAAGAATTGTTATTTGAGCCAGGGTGTAGTGTAACTCTTACAAAGTGGCTGTGACACAGCCCCAAATCCCTCGTGTCCCCTCTTAGCCTTTGGCAGGATTGTTCCTGGCAACTCGCTCTGGTTTGAGCAGTCAGATGACCCTGATTTTCCCACTCCCACCCCCACACCTTTGTTTTGTAAGCTGGCTGGGTTACAGCCCTGCAAAGACAGGAATTTTAACCTGCCACAACTTGGCTGGGTTCATCTAAATGTCACTTGTGACTTGCTGAAGGAAGAGCTGCTTTTGAGAGCAAGAGAAATGGGAGACCTTGGGCTGCTCTGGCTTCAGGATGGCTTAAAAGTTTGTAACCCTGACCTTCCATCTCCCTGTTTGTCCTGCTCTGTCTGCAGGGCGTGGAACCACCTTCAGCCTGGGATCCTTTCAAGGCAGCAGGGAGGAATCCCTTCAGGAGGCTCTGAGGCTCAGTTATCTCAAACATGGAATACAAGCAGAGAGAAACAATAGCATGTTTGTATTGCAATGATCAGACTACGAGAATTCACTTTTAAATACGTCCAAATACTTTCACACAAGCTTAAAATCACCTGTTGATTTTTTAAGCATATTCTTGGGATCTACTGCTAGGAGAAAACAGATTCTCTGCAGAGAATTGTTTATAACATTGCCTGTAGTACTTGGGAGCCCTGGTGTGTGCTGTTCATGACGGCTGTGTGGGCTTCCCGTGAAGAGAACTTGCACAGTTTTCACACCCTGTGTTTGTCAAGTTTGTGTTGGAAGATGTAGCATATGGTACATGTAACTCTGTGAGGTTTGGATTTTTTTTTTAATTTTTATTTTGTAGATGAAATTGGCACTTTTCTTTCCAGCTGGGAATAGCACTGCAGGACAGTATTGTTTTCCCTGTGGAATATTTCTTTTGGTTTTGGAGTGTCTCATGGGTTTTAGAAGCAAATTCTATTTGTCTTTGGTTGCTGATGAGTATTAGAGGAATTCTAGATCACAAGTCTCATCTTGACCAGCCCTCAGAGGTTTCTGGGCCTGTTGGGCTTTGGTTTGGCATCCTGGGGAGGCATTAATGGGATACTCTGACCAGCTGGGGTTGGATTTTGGTTTTATCTTTACTGAAGGTGGTGGTGTGTGGTGTTGAGCTGTGCACCAGGCTAAGTCTCAGTAATTTCTGAGGGGTTTGGATGATTGTGGCTGGTAATGAGTGAGAAACACTCTGAGGTTGATACATGACTTCAGTGCAGAGTTTGGTGGGGTTTTTTAACCCTCCTTCCTAATACCTGAAACAAATACAACTTGGCTGGCATGTTAATCCTCCCCTTTAATTTTATAGCTCTATAAACCAAGCTGAACTTTGCCTTTTGCCAGGAAGAGGCAATGAGTTTTTTGCATTTTCAGAGCTAACTGGAGATGGTTTTCTTGCCTTGCAGGCTGCTATCTGGCAAGCACTGAACCACTACGCCTATCGCGATGCCGTGTTCCTCGCAGAAAGGTTATATGCTGAAGGTGTGTACTTTGCAATTATAAACCTTTTTATAAATGCTTTTTCTCAATTTGATTTTGGGTTTTGTGAGCCTCTGCTCCTGCTTTATTTTCTTCCTGTTCTCATAATGAAGTTTAGCTTTCTGCTTGGGGAAAGCAGAGGAATGCCTTGCAATTAGGTTGGAAAAATCAAATCATGTAACAGCAGCAGTGTTATTTTACAGTAAAATCTCCTTAAAATTAAATTCAGATTTGTGTGTTTAAGTGCAGTGTTTACAATGATCTGGTTTATGGTATCAAATGGGAGAATGTTGGGGGTTTTTTAATGACCCTCAAGCATTGCATTCTTCCAAGGGCACTTGAGGATAGATGCAGCACACAAATTCTACAAATTGGCTTGACATTGAAAGCTGTCTTTGCTGATAATGCTGCTCAGATAGGTTGATTGGCTCAAAGAGAGTCTTGTGATGGTGAGAGAAAAGCCCTGTGAAACTGAGACAGTGAGAATCAGAACATATGGAACAGGTATCTGCTGCTGGGTCCCTGCTGATTGTTGGTTCATTGTGAAGCTGGGCTATCTTGGACAGTGGGCAGGCAGCAGTAACACAAATCTGTACTTTCTCTGGCTGCTTCAAACATTCCTTTGGTGTGTTCTAGCACCTTTTGGTTTTTAACCTTTTCTCCATGACCTCAGATAAGATTTTTGTTCTTCTGTACTTGTTTCTCCTTGATACTGGTGGTCAGCTTTCCTTCTCTGTTTTAAAAGGTATTGTTCCCTAACCATTAACACAAAAAAACCCCAATACAAGTGTCATACAATTTCTCATGTTAAACAACCTGAGTTTATAGTTTGAATTAAACTGTATAAGCTGTTTCATGCTCTGTTGTGTAATTAAATATTTTTCCTGCCATGCCCACAATGCAGTTCTTAACAATGGAAGCACAAACCTAAATTTTGAGAAATAAAGGCTTCATTTTCCTTGTGTCAGGGTTACAAATGGAATCTGGGGTGTTTGATCTGGTGCTGAAATGAGAAATGCTGTGTAGAGTATTATGGAACCTGATAATCCAGGTGTTTATGAAGAAAATAGTATTGTAGGGATGACAGAGCTCCCCTGAACACAGCACACTGTGAGGGGCAGGGAAATGGTAGATTGGAGGTAATTGCCAAGGATTTCGGAACAAAGAGAATCCACTTTTTGCAGCAGCCAGGAGAAAAATACCTGACTTGATAGTGACACATCTTTGCAGAATAATTCCCTGCAAAAATACTTCAAACAGCCTTTTTCAGTGGCCAGCAGTGCTGAGAGAAAGCAGCATGAATGCTGACACTTGGTGCAAGCAATTAACTGCTAACAAAACATCTGGCTCCTGGTTCAAATGAGTGGTTACACTGCAGAGTGGAAGCTGCAGACCTTGAACACAGTGGCTCCATGATGGCAGGAGTGATTTCACCCTGAGAAAAACTTATTTTAGGTCTACCTGTAATTACTGTCCTTGATGGGACATCTGTGGCTTGGTCGTTTCCCAGAGCTCTCAAAATCTGTTAAAGTAGTGGATAAAAATTGATTTAACTTGAATTTTCAAAAAGGTCTTCTGTGTTTTTAGGATAAGGCTAATAAAATTCCCTCTGTTTGGATCTTCTGTTTCTATTGTCACTGTTTGGGTGATGACAAAAACTTTAAATAGTCAGTTTTCAGTGAAGCAAAGGATTTGGGCAGATTCCCAAAGAAGTTTTTATACAGTGCTCATATTGATTTTTTTAAAGATTTTCCTATAGGTGGATGAACAAACATCAAAATTGTTTATTTAATGTTGAATTCCATTTGCAAGGTAATGTCTTCTGAAAAGTATAAAGGTAATGTGGTTTATTAAGTGGTTTGAAGTTGCTTGTGTTCATACACAGCTTTTGATTTAAAATATCGTTGTGTGAGGGTGATTTGAGTGTAAGATTTGGAGAAGTACAGAGTGGGTTAAGCCACCATGGATGTACAAAATCAGTGAGTTTACAGAAAGGATTAAAGTTACTTCAGGGGTTGATTGTGTCCTTTGTGGTGTAACCATGAGTGGGTCTGATCTGGATGTCAACTCAAGCTCTTTGAGTAGAACATCCTCAGTATGGTACATAATTGCAGTGGAAGAAAATTTGGAAATAGACATTAATTCTAAATAGTTTCAGTGTGGTGACACTCTGAGCCAAGTCAGCCTTGGTGTGGCCAGCAGGTTTGCTTGGCCTGCTGCTGTTCTAGCTGCAAGCTGGCTCATCATTTATTCAGATTGGGTAGCCAGAAGGATCAAAGTTCCTTCAAAGCTGTAGATGTTAAGAGTTCATCTGACCAGCCAAGGAAATGGCATAGGAAGATAATCACCAACAGATGAAGAAACTTCATTCAGGAATGAATTTCTAATATCATACCCATTTTATTCCATCTTGTCCACAACTGGCTTTTACTCCCTGCCCCCAGATTTTTTGTACTGAAGTGATTAACACCTAACTGATGGTTTGGTTTGCAGTTCACTCAGAAGAAGCACTGTTTTTACTGGCAACGTGTTACTACCGCTCAGGAAAGGCCTACAAAGCTTACAGGCTCCTAAAGGGACACAGCTGTACCACCCCACAGTGTAAATACCTGCTTGCAAAATGTTGTGTGGACCTCAGCAAGTAAGTAAATCCTTCATGTTCTGTCCAGGGTTACAAATGGATTTATTTCTTTGCTTGGATTTCTCTTTGGAAGATGTTGTCTTGTATAAACTAGAAATTCATTGGTTCTTCAGCACAAAAATTGAGCTCAATTTATTTTGCTTTCAGATATGGACTTAATGAGCATTAACCCATGTTGCAAAAACCTCTAAAAGTTGTTGAGTAACTTAGACAGGAATTGCCAAGCTGTGTAGTAAAAAAACCAGATTTTATATGGGCTCTTTTATACAGCTGTGCCTTATTTCCTCGTGGGGATGCTCTGTGCTGATGGAAGCATACACCTCCAAGTAAAATTTCAAGTGGTGGCAAGAAAAGGTGATTTGTTTGTTCAAGTGTTTGGGCTCAGATGCCTGAAAAATGCCTCCCACCCCAGCAGCTGTATAAAGTAATTTTGAAGCCTGGCAGCCAGTGGCCTGTTCTGTGTGAGTGCTGCTGCTCCTGCAGGTGAAGGAGGTGCAGATTGACCCTTTATTCTCCTTTTGAGCCTTTCTTGCAAGAAAGAAAGGCTTTAAAATCCATGAACTCTGCCATATTCCAATATTGGCTCTTAACTGAGTGCATGGGGGGCCTTACAGATTGTATTTCTTTGGGAAACAAAGCCAAATTTAAGCACTGGTTTTGCTTAGATAAAGCACCTTCAAAGATCAAGTGTCTTGAAGATTCCCTTGCCCTTCATGCTAGGACTGATCACCTTTGGAAAAGTCATGCTGAATTTTGTGCTTTTGGGTTTGTTTTGTTTTTCTTCCCTCCCAGTAGAGCTGTTTGACTGCAGAGTGCTGAACCTCCCTGTTGTAGAGGAATCCATGGGTTGGTTAATGTTCATTTGCAGGAACTGGTTTGTGGTTTAAAACCTGTGCACACTGACAGTGGATTTCTGTTTTTGTTTGCAGCAGGGTGAAAACACTGGAGTGCCAGTACTGTGAGCCTTGTAACCCCTTTAAACCTCTTGTTTTTTAAAAAGGCTTGCAGAAGGAGAGCAGATCTTGTCTGGTGGAGTGTTGAATAAACAGAAAAGCCATGATGACATTGTTATGGAGTTTGGTGATTCTGCATGCTTTACACTCTCCTTACTGGGACATGTCTACTGGTAAAGTTGCTTTTTCATTTGCACAATAAAGTTGGAAGGTTTTTGATTGACCAAGCCCAGGTTTAGTCAAACATATCCTTAGTTACTACAGGAGACACCTCTCTCTGGGTTACACCATTTTGGAGCATGATGGAGTTGTGGAATCAGTCTGATTTGGGAATGGTTAATTTTCATTTTCACCCAAAGACTGAAAGCACAAATTCCTCTTTTCTGGGTGGGTAAGAATGCAGTCCAAAAGTCTGAGATTTTTAAATACCTTTGGATTTGCTCCATATTCTTCCCTAAGAAAAACTCTCAGCCTGTTTCTCAGTGTTACCATTTAGATTTTTACTATCTGTGTTATACATGTGTAGCTCTAACCCTCAAATCCAAGTTCTGAGGGTGCCAGGCAGAATAACTTGCCAATTGTGTTTTGATTTTGCTAAGATGCAAGAAAGGTTTCAGTAAATGTAAATGATTGGAGTAGTTGGGCTCTTGGATTCTTCTCTATTTCTATTCTCAATTATTTTCAAAATTATTTCTTTGTAGCCAAATACTTAGGTGTTCAGTTTAGCTGCTAATTTTTTGCAAAAATATTATCCATAGATACTTAAGATGACTGGAAGGCTGGCAATCAGGTTACTGTTGGCAAAAAAGAAACAAGCTGTTGCAAAGAACTGCATCTTCCTAAAAATGAAAATTCTCAAGCTATTCTAGTGCTTATGTAACTTTTTTTGACAACTGTGTCTAAATATGTCAAGTAACTTCAAAAGAACTCAGTATTTCTTGGGTTTGAAAGATGAGGAATGTTTCTGTGCCTCTCAACATGTTTTTGTTTTTCAACTCCTCTTCTGGAAAACTCTCTTTGACAAAAATGCTGTTCTGAAGTTTCCCTGTGAACTGTTTCATTCTCTTTGCAGCAAGACAGACCGGCTTGCCAAAGGATCAGAATGTTACCAAAAGAGCCTTAGTTTAAATCCTTTCCTCTGGTCCCCTTTTGAATCACTATGTGAAATAGGTGAGTCTGCAGAATTGTTTTACTCATGTAATTCTTGGGAGAGATTTTTGTGAGCAACAGTTCATTTAAAATACTTTGCCATTGTTTAAAACTTCTGTCTTGTTTTCTTCCATCTTCATTGTTTATACACTTGTGGATCTGACAATCCAAATGTGCTTTCCAGCCTTCATTTAGTAGACACTTAGAGCCTGTTTCTGAGAATAGCTTGAAAAAACAACATAGGAAAATTATTAAAAATATTGATTGTCAAGGGTTTCGTAGTAGAAAATAATTCTGCTTTAGTACAGAGTTACTTGGTCTAGTGAAGGGTGTCCCTGCTTATTGCAGAGGGCTGGAATGACATGTTCTTAAAGGTCCCTTCCAACCCAAATGTTTTAAAACACTCCTAAAATCCTTTGTCCCCTGTCCTTGATTCAGACTGAATATTCAGTGTATAGACCCAGGAATAATTATTCAATCTCTTTCCATTCTTACAGGTGAAAAGCCAGACCCTGACCAAACATTTAAATTAACATCCTTACAGAATTTCAGCAGCTGTCTGCCCAACACTTGCACAACAGTGGTGTCCAATCACAACATATCCCACAGACAGCCTGAGAGTGTCCTCATGGAGACACCCCAGGACACAATTGTGAGTTTTGCTCAAATCATTGTAAAATCATTTACTGAAATCAGTTCATTTATCCATTACCTAAGAGCTGCCTTTTATTCTTCAGGAGTTGAACAGAATCAACCTAGAGTCCTCCAATTCAAAGTATTCCTCCTTGAATTCAGATTCCTCCATGTCTTACATTGACTCGGCTGTGATTTCCTCAGATTCTGTCCCTCTGGGGTCAGGAACTGCCATCTTGTCCAAACAGGCTCAAAATAAACCAAAAACTGGACGGAGTTTGCTGGGGGGACCTGCAGCTTTGAGCCCACTCACTCCAAGGTAAGTCCTTGGCATGGCCAAGCTGTGCCCAGGGCTGAGCTGCTGCTGCTCCTTGGCCTTTGGAGCAGGAGGGCTGGGGCTGCACAGCACACTCAGACACACTTGCTGGGACAATTCCTGTGCAAGGGAAACCCAGACAACTGCAGGAACTGCTCTTGCTCCTAGCGTTCATCTCTTGTGGTTTTTGAACAAGCAGTTGGTTATTTGGAGAGGAATTGTTGATTCAAGATATTGCTTATTGAATAAATCAGATCAATCATATTCCTTCAAGTGTCACTTGAAGGAATATGCTGCTTATCAATCATATTCTTTCAATTGTCACTTGAAGGAATATGCTGCTGCTCTGGAATAAACTTTATTATGAAAGGCCACTGTAAAGAGCTTTTCTTGAAGTCCAGCTCCCGATGATCCTCTGGGTCCCTGCCAGCTCAGGATATTCCATGCTCTGAGTCTGTGTTTTAACCCCTGCATCAGACCAGCTCTAACATTCACACACTGACCCTTCCTCTCTGGTTTGTTCTCAGCTTTGGGATTTTGCCACTAGAAACCCCAAGCCCTGGAGATGGATCCTATTTACAGAACTACACCAACTCCTCCTCTGTCATCGATGTGCCATCCACCGGAGCACCTTCAAAGAAGGTACCTTGCACTCTGAGCTCAGCTGCTCTGCTCAGGCCTTGGCACTGCAGTGCACTTGAAAGAAAAATCCAAAATACAGGGGAAAAAGCATGGGATCTAAGTTTTCCCCCCCAGATGCCCAGGCTGTGGTTGCTGGATTAACCTAGGGAAGATCTCTTGTGTTCTGTCCACCTCCCTCACAGAGCATTGTACAGACACTGAAGCTTCCCAACAACAGGAGATTCCAACTTTTCAGTCTGCTGAGTAGAGTGTGAAGACTTGAAATTGTTTGTTTTATTTATTTAATGTATTTTCTGAAGCCTCAAGAAAGCTGAAGCTGCTGATCTCTTGCAAGTAGTTCTTGAGTTGTAGTTTACAGACCTGAATAATAAAATTCTTGCTGCTGGTCTGTGAAGGACTGAGAGAATGGTGCTGTTTCACTCAGCAAAGTCTTGCTAAAACTAAAAAATGCCTGCTTCACTCAGGAAGAAACTGCTGTAGTTGCCATAGTGATAAATGAGAGGTGGAATGTTGGTGACAGTTGAAGAACTATTTGTTCCTTTCTAAAAACAAAAACCTGAGGATTTTTCCCTGTATTTTTAGTAAATCTGCAAGTTGCATGAGGAGTGTTGGTGTTTTATAGGGGGAGCTATTTTGAAATAGTGTTGAATCTCAAAAATTAGAACTCAAGTTGCCACGTTTGCTCTGGACAAATCTTGATGCTGTGCCATTCTGAAAGGGAAATTTGGGACTTGTGCTAAAGCAGTCAGTGAGGAATGTGCTTTGTTTGGCTGATCCAATTCCCACCCTGTGCTTGCTCAGGACCATTTGCAAACAGTGGCTTGTGCTGGACTGTGCACATAGAGGAAGGTAAATTTCCATGAGTCTGAAAATGGAAATGAAGTTTGTAAGGTGCAGCTCTTCTGGCAGCTGAAGAGCTTTGGGAAATCAAGTTGGATTTGCTGTTTTGTTGCTTTGCTGAGTGAGACACAGCAGCACTGAGGTGTAAAATTCACTGCTCTACCCTTAGGCCCTGCCCACATGGAGCTGTGCCACTACCAAAACACAAACAACAAATACATTTTAATAAACATCCTAAATTCTGGTTCATGCTTTGTCCAGTGCAAGTGCTGACTGTGCCAGTTCCACTTTGCTCTTCCAGTTTGTGTCAGACAAGGTTTGGTGGAGCTGTGGCTGAACAGAGGCAGTTTCCTAGGAAACCCTTACATAAGTGAGTGAAGCATTAGGATGAATCCAAGGGCTTCCTGTCTGAGTGGGCAGGAAATTTCCTGGCCACCTAAACCATCCTGTGGGGACAGAATCTGGGAAAGGAACAGAAGGACAGAGCTTCAGGGGCTGGATAATGCACAAACTTGCACTGGTGTTGATCCACTTGTCCCTTTCTGGTGTCTCTTCCAAGCAGCCATCACTGAATTGAATGTCTGTCCCTGGAGTGGGCAGAAAGATAATTTTTTTAAAGCTTTTTAAAAAAAAAAATGTGAAGAGGAGGATCTGTTCTGAAAACAGGCTGAGTTGCTGTGCAGTTTGGGAATGGCTTCTGAATGGGATTGTAATAGGATAATTTAAAAATATTTTTCCTATTTTTTTTGTGGTTTCGTTTTTACAACTTTCTGCGGGAAAAAGCCTTTAGATGTGTTGTATTTTAATTCCCTTTTGTGCTTGCACAAGCACTTTAACATAGTTTCTTGCCATTAGATGGAGATTCTATATCTTCAAATAATGTGCATGAGCTTTGTAGACTTGCTGTTATTAACAGGTGGAAGGAGGAACACTTTGGATGGCTTTCCCTGGGCATGGGGAACCCTCTCCTTGATTAAAATAATTCTGTTTCTCCTGGTGCAGGGTTTGGTGGGTGGAGTGGGCTGCCTTTGGCACAGCAGAGATGGAGACTCCTGAGTGACATAATAACCAACCTGTAGAAACTCTGTGTTGTGCAGGCTGTCAGCAGGATCAGCCAGGCTGGAACAAAATCTGTTTTCTCCCAGAGTGGGAACAGCCGGGAAGTCACTCCAGTCCTTGTTGCACAAACCCAGAGCTCTGGTCCTCAGACAAGGTAAAACAACCATAACACTTTAAACATTTTGTTTAAAGCAAATCTAAAAGCTGTTACTATTAAAAGCAGAGCAAAGAAATTTATACTTTCCAATGTGTGATTTAAAATTTTCTTTTTCAGTACAACACCTCAGGTATTGAGCCCAACCATTGCTGCTCCACCCAACGCGCTGCCTCGGCGAAGCTCTCGCCTCTTCACCAGTGATAGCTCCACAACCAAGGTACCAATCCCTGCCTTTCTCACCCATTCCACTCACCCAGCTGGGAATTTCCATGTATTAATAGCAGTTACTCTCAAATTTAGATTTCTGGATTTAAAAGATTCTTAGGTATGTGACTCTTACTTTTCTTATTTGCAGGAAAATAGCAAAAAATTAAAAATGAAGTTTCCACCTAAGATTCCAAACAGGAAAACAAAAAGTAAAACAAATAAGGGAGGAATAACTCAACCAAACTTAAATGACAGTTTGGAGATCACCAAACTGGACTCTTCCATCATTTCAGAAGGGAAAATTTCCACTGTTGCACCACAAATCCAAGCTTTCACGCTACAGAAGGCAGCAGCAGGTCTGTTTGAGCACTGTTGGACTGTAATAGAGTAAAATCTGATATATCTGGGTTTTAATGTTGCTTCAGTATTTGCTTCTTTCCCATTTCATTTAGCATGCAGCTCTCACCTTTGTGTAGTGATAAAAACTGATTTAATTCAACATCTTGTTCATTTAGAAACATGTGAAGAATATTGAGAGTGGTAATTGTCAGCAGATAAATCTTGCAAGCTCTGATCCTTCTTAATGATTAAAGTATTTTTAAAGTATATAAAGTATTATTAATTGTTATGTAATATGTAAATTATGATAATATAATAAGTAATATTATTATGATTGTGTTACATGGTTATAAAGTAGAACTTCAGATTTTTAAAGTATGTAATTTATGACAGTATTATCCTTGGAAACTGATCCAAAGGAGTTACTCATAACCCAGTCACCTCTTAACATGGGCTTTATGTGGTCTGTCCTCCCTTGATGTTTCCCATTTGTTTAAAAACAAATCTTTATTCAGATTGTCAGAAAATCCTGAGCAAAATGCTGAATTCCCCTCTTTTGGCTCAGTAATGTTTCCAGGCAGAAGAGGGTGTATCCATGGCTACCAGGCTTGTGGGAACTGCTCAGACCTAAAGAAATGTTTGAATAGCTGCTGGAAATGCAGAACTCCACTTACCCTGAGCCCCAAAGTTTAAAAACTCATTTTCTAGCTTCTCTTAAAGAGGCTGATAATCAGAATATCATGCTCATGTTAATTAAGTATTTAAAGTTAAGAATATATAAACCTTGTTTGGAAACTCCTAAAAGGTTTCCATAAGAGGAGTGCACAAAGCAGAGATTTTGGGGTTAGCACTTCCAAGTAAATAAGTCTCACTGTTTTGTTTTTTTTTTTCCCACTTTTATTTATTGTGTTTTTCTCCTAGAAGGTTTGATGAGCCTTCTCCGGGACATGGGGAAAGGTTATTTAGCCTTGTGCTCATACAACTGCAAGGAAGCCATCAATATTTTGAGCCATTTGCCATCCCACCACTACAACACAGGCTGGGTGCTGTGCCAAATTGGGAGAGCTTACTTTGAGCTGGCAGAGTACATGCAGGTAGGAATGGGGGCCAGGCCTTCCTCTTCTCCCTTTGCTTTGGCAGTTTTACACAAAACCTGCAGATCTCCTGTAAAATCCAGGAGAAGTTTGCAGTTGTGGTAAATGGATCAATATAAAAGTTACACCTGGAATGGATTTAGGTCTTGAATCTGCTTTCTCATTGAGCTTTCCTAAATTTTTTTGTTAATGTTATTTCCTCTTGTATCCAAGTGTTGGGGTTTCCTCCTTGTGTGTCCTGTCTCTATCTCCTGCTGTGCTGATGGAATTGTTTGCACTGCACTGTTTTAGAGTAGATCACTCAACAATTTCAGCTCTAAACCAAAACACTTCTCTCCATTGTAGTTAATTCTGATCACACCAGTGACCCAGTTTCCCTCCCAGCCTCACAAATGAAGCACTGGCACAGCTGAGGTGATGCCAAACTGCTCCAGAATCAGAAGTGAGCAGTTCAGGGTAATCCCACAGTTCCTCTCCTTGGCACTGCTCTCCTGACAGCTGATGTGCCTGTTTGCTGAGTTTTTAAAGCACTCTTTGGCAGAATGTGTGCAGGAGACAAAGCAGAGGGAGGTTTTGAGCTGTGCAAGGCCTGTTTCCAGGTGGAACAGATGCTGGGTGCTTCATAGATTATTTACAAAGGTGAGGCTGGAGATTTTAATCACAGAATTCCAGAGTGGTTTGGGTTAAAGGAGACTTCAAAGCTCCTGCAGTGGCACCACCTTCCACTGTCCCAGATTGCTCCAATCCCATCCAGCCTGGCCTTGGGCACTGCCAGGGATCCAGGGGCAGCCCCAGCTGCTCTGGGCACCTGTGCCAGGGAACAATTCCTGCCCAGTATCCCACCTAACCCTGCCCTGTGGCAGTGTAAAACCATCACCCCCTGTCCTGTCACTCTTTATGGGATTGTTAACAATCATACCTGGCCCATAAAATCTGTTGCACTCTCTGGTTTTGTGGATGATGTTTTTGCCTCGCTCAAGCATGGACAGAAACAGGAATGCAGCTGAGTCAGCAGGAGGGAGAGCTGGCTGCATTCCTGCTGGCAGAGTATCCTGGGATCCAGTCACTTCCTTCCCTTGCAAGGAAAGCTCAGGGCTTGCAGCTCTGTGTAAAACACTTCAAAAGCAAAGAAGATGCTCAGGCTGGATGTGAGGCCTTGGACCTTGACCTCTGTGCTCTGCCTTGGTGGTGGAATTTTATTTTAAGTTTCATTTCTGTTCTCAGGCTGAGAGAATATTTTCAGAAGTGAGGAGGATTGAAAACTACAGAGTAGAAGGCATGGAAATCTATTCAACCACACTCTGGCATCTGCAGAAAGATGTTGCCCTTTCAGTTCTTTCTAAGGATTTGACAGACATGGATAAAAACTCACCAGAGGTATAAAATGCTGTGGGCTTGAATGAGAAGAGGGGAATTGTACGTGGTGAAATCAGTGATTCAGAACAGAACTTTGAGCTCTAATCCAGTGTACTCTCCAGTGGGAACACACCTGAACAGAGCTGGAGAGGGAGCTGGCAGGGTTGTCTGTTAAACTGCTGATGCCTGAAATGGCTCCTTAAAATTTGAATATCAGCTTATGTGGAACAGGTTGAAACCTTTTATCTGTTAATGGTTATTTAAATTTGCCTTGGCAGCATTCAGCCAGGAAGATCATGGGTTAGTCAGTCACTCTTGCTGCTGCCAGTGTGCAGAGATAAGGAATATCTTTTTCCTGTACCTTTTAATTGCTGTAGTTAATTCACTGGCACTTGAAATATTTGTTCTAGAGTTTATTTCCAGACATGATGTTGCACATTTTTATACCAAAGTCCATTAAACTGCAGGGTGTGTGGTAGTGTAGTCACAATGTGCCAAAACCCAGAAATCTTTCAATGAGTGCCACAGTAAAAATAAAATATGTGAGTTGATAAATGTGCTCTTAAGAATTAAGCAAACTGCAGAGGATATTGGAAATCTTAGTGGTGGAGGAGGAAATCCAATTTATGTTATCCTGTTAGTTTGTCTAAGAGTGGAAAACAACCTCAGTGAACAGTTGGTGGGTGTAGTAAGATTAGTCAGGATAGAGGGAAATGCAGATTCTAATCCAGGCAGTGGAAATTAGTTATGTGCTTTGGCAGTGATGCTGAAAATGTGGGGAAGTGGGGGACCCTGGGCTGTGGTATTTACAGTCTTGATGGGTGCTGAGCAGCAGGGAAAGAGGAGGTTGTTGCTAAAATTCTTCCTCTGCAGATTTCCAGATTTGTCACTTGGAGGCAACTGAAGAAATAAAAGTACCATCTCCCCCTTTGTTATTCTGAAATAGCAAAGATGTTTTATTTCTGGTCTTTTTAACACCTTCAAAAGCTTCAGTCGTTAGTCATCAAAGATCTAATTGGTGCAGGCTTGTTGGGTGTCCATGGATTCTCCATTTCTGTAATTCAGCTTGTTCATTTATTCATTTATTTATTTTAGAAAGTGTGTTTAGCCTTGCTTGCTTCACAGGAATGAGCCTGAACTAACTGTTGATTTATTCCTATTTATTTATTTATAATTAGTTAATTATAATATCTATTTAATTATAATATAATTAATATTATAGTTATTTATAATTATTTAAATCAGTATAGATAAATGTGTTCAGCTCAGATTTAGTCACTCAGAGTAGTAAAAAGGTTCTGCTCCTGCCCTGCTGTTGTTCCAGGCCTGGTGTGCAGCAGGAAACTGCTTCAGCTTGCAAAGGGAGCACGACATTGCCATCAAGTTCTTCCAGAGGGCCATCCAGGTGGATCCAAACTATGCCTATGCCTACACCCTGCTGGGCCACGAGTTTGTGTTGACAGAGGAGCTGGACAAGGCTCTGGCCTGTTTCAGAAACGCCATCAGGGTCAACCCCCGGCACTACAACGCCTGGTAGGTCTGCCCTCCTGAGCCCTGCTGCTGCCTGGGCTGCAGGATTCCCTCTGGAGAACATGTCCTGCTGCTGCTGCCTCTGCTGGGGATCCATGGAGGCTGCTCTGGGTGGGAATGACCTTGCAGCCCATCCAGTGTCACCCCCTGCCATGGCAGGGACACCTTCCAGCAGCCCAGGCTGCCCCAAGCCCATCCAGCCTGGCCAGGGACACTGCCAGGGATGGGACAGCCTCCATCGTTTCCACTCTTCCCTCCTGGGAAAGAGCAAAGCCATTCCTGCAGAAGATGGGGGGCTACTTTCACAAGAAAAGCAAAAAATTCACTTTTTTTTTTATTTTCACAGATTGTTTAGGCTGTATTACCCCATTATTTTGTCCTGTTAGACAGCATTCTTTGTGCATTATGTGTCCTCAGTTGCAGTTGGAGAGATGAGATCTCAGCCTTTTCATACCTTAGGATACCTTTTGTATCTTAGAGCTTTTTAATATATAAAGCAGTAGAAGTTCATCTGTGAGTGTGATAGTGTTAATAACTTTTGTGTCCTTTTATTTAGCCAGTCTTGCTGTGTGTCACACATCAGTTCTTCAGCCACCCAATGGATAACAAACAGAAATAAAATTTTAGACAGGTTTTTTCCCTAGGAAATCCTTTCCCACCCTAAATGGGGCTGGCAAGGCTGCAAACCATTCCTGCCATGTCACATTCACTGGCAGAAACCAATTTGGTTAAAATCCAGTGCCACTTACCAGAATTGTTTCTGTGCTGCAGGTACGGGTTGGGAATGATTTATTACAAACAGGAGAAGTTCAGCCTGGCAGAAATGCATTTCCAGAAAGCACTTGATATCAACCCCCAGAGCTCAGTCCTGCTGTGTCACATTGGAGTGGTGAGTACATGGCACTTCACTTGGGTGGGGAGCAGGGGTTGGGGTGCAGAGGGGGTCAGGAGGATTTTTCTTCCTGTAGAACAAAAACCAGACTTGGTCTAGCAGTGGGCAAATACTTTCCTAAAGGAGCAGAAAACATGCTCAGAGGGGTTTGTCCTTGCCCAGCAGATGAGCTGTTATTTTTTCCCCTTTTGGAATTGTTCTCTCTCTTTGTGTGCCAGGTCCAACACGCACTGAAAAAATCTGAGAAGGCTTTGGACACTTTGAACAAAGCAATCAACATCGACCCCAAGAACCCACTATGCAAATTCCACAGAGCCTCGGTGTTGTTTGCAAATGAGAAGTACAAGGTCAGTCTGGGTGCTCGTGGCAGCCTTGAAATTCCTGGAGCTGGGAATGGGGGTGCCTTGGGAATGTTCACAGGTCACCAGGGCTTGCAGGAACACCCTGGGACATGGGAAGCATTTCCATTGGCAAGTGCCACCCTCAGCAGGGTGGCATTAAATGTTTTGGTTGTAACAAAATCTGGGGCCATCAGGTGTTGCTTTTTAAATTATTATTTTAGTCTGACCTACTCTCATGAATTTATACTAAATTACTAAGAAAACTCAGCCAACTGCCCCATATCCAATTACAGCAATAAGAACCAGCTGTTTCCAAGGTTGTGTTGTGGAGTGCAGAGTCAGAAGTGAAGCAGTTTTGGGCTGATTCCCTGCTGACCTGAACCCTGTTTAGAACAGAAGATCTTCCCACACTGTTTATCCAGCAGCTTTTCCTCTGGCCAGTGTTTTTTGGCTCCAGAAGACAAGCCAAGTCTGTTTGAAGCTTGCCTCAGAAACATCCCTTTCAGCACACTGAAAGGGAAAACTTTACTTAAAACTTTTTTTTTTATTTCTAACTGCAAACTAAATATTTTTCAGTTGAATTTCTTAATGATGCCAGGTGACTATCACAGCAAACAGCTCCAGCATCAAGAACTAATTTAAAAGTAAAGTAGAAGTTTCACTAAAAGTGTTTGGTTTCAAATGCCTAATATAAACACTCTGTCCAACCTTTCAGTCGGCTTTGCAAGAACTTGAAGAACTGAAACAGATTGTTCCCAAAGAGTCTCTTGTTTACTTTTTAATAGGAAAGGTAGGTAAAACTACTTTGTGATCCTAAGTTCTTTAATTTCCTTTGCTGCTTAATGTGAAAATTTGATGCCTGTCACTAAGATGCTTCCACTTGGAGCAGTATTCTAAAAATTCCCAAAGCTTTAAATACTGAACAAGAAGCAGCTACATTCCAACCTTGCTTGTGTGAAATGCCAGAGCAGTGATCTAGTGACAGAAATCCTCCTTCCCACCACCACCTCTGCTGATGAGCTCTAAATAACTTCTGTAATTTTCTGCTGGGGAGTGTCTGGTCACTTGGGAGCACCAAGACAAACTTCCCTCTAACACAGAGCTGCAGAACTTCTATCAGCAAGATTCCTTTATTTTGTTTGAACTGGAGAGAAGTAAAAGGATTTGTGCTGAAAAGTGTTCACTGGGTTTTGTCCAGGAGTAGCTGGACCTTTAAACTGACACGCGTGGCCATGTCTAGACAAACTGAAGTATTTTCACTGTTTAAATCCTCAACACAGATAAATAACTTGCCCATCTGCCCTTAATTATAAAGAATCTCTTAGCTGCTAGTTTATTTATTTTTATTTTTAAGTAGAAACATATTTATTTCCCTTGGGGCTCACATAATAAGTTTTTCATACCCACCCTCTGTTCCTTTCCATAAAACATCACTGAACTGTGGAACAATCATTGCCCAAACCTTCAAGTAGCAGCCTTATATAAATGCAGCCTTTCCTGCTGTTTTTCTGTTCAGGTTTATAAAAAGCTGGGTCAGACACATCTGGCCCTAATGAATTTCTCCTGGGCAATGGACCTGGATCCCAAAGGAGCCAACAACCAGATCAAGGAGGCCATAGACAAACGTTACCTGCCCGACGACGAGGAGCCCATCACGCGCGAGGAGCAGATCAGCGAGTGCTACCCCTACGAGTCAGGTCTGTGCTGCAGGAGCCCCTGGACAGGGCCAGCTTTAACATTTCTGTGCTGCAGGAGCCCCTGGGGAGGGCCAGCTTTAACATTTCTGTGCTGCAGCCTGTGCCCTGAGCCCTGGACAGGGCCAGCTTTAAAGGTGAAACATTTCTGTGCTCCAGCCTAGGAGCAGCCTCTGACACTGAGCCCTAGGGACAAGGCCAGCTTAAACAGGTGAAACATTTCTGTGCTCCAGGAGCCTCTGCCCTGAGCTCTGGACAGGGCCAGCTTTAACATTTCTGTGCTGCAGCCTCTGCCCTAAGCTCTGGACAGGGCCAGCTTTAACATTTCTGTGCTCTTGGAGCCTCTGCCCTGAGCTCTGGACAGGGCCAGCTTTAACATTTCTGTGCTGCAGCCTCTGCCCTGAGCTCTGGAGAGGGCCAGCTTTAAAGGTGAAACATTTCTGTGCTGCAGCCTCTGCCCTGAGCCCTGGACAGAGCCAGCTTTAACATTTCTGTGCTCCAGGAGCCTGTGCCCTGAGCTCTGGACAGAGCCAGCTTTAACATTTCTGTGCTCCAGGAGCCTGTGCCCTGAGCTCTGGACAGGGCCAGCTTTAACATTTCTGTGCTCCAGGAGCCTCTGCCCTGAGCCCTGGACAGGGCCAGCTTTAACAGGTGAAACGTTCTGCCCACTGAGTAGGAGCTCTGGAGGCTCTTCACTCAGAATTCATTCTTTGTCCAGTAATAGTTGCTTCTTCCAGCCAGGTCTCATAAGCTCTTGGAGGTCTGTTACTCACTCAAGATAGCTCAGCTACCTTTGGGAGCATAAAATGAGCAGTGTTGGAAACAAAATGGTTTAATAAAAGGCAAAATAACAAACAGGGAAAAACTGAGTCAGGTGCAGGAGGTTTTTGCTCTTGGTGAAACACCTCACAAAAGTGATTAGTTTCTTTGTTCTGTTTTTTTTTTTTTCTAGTAAAATGCCTAGGTGGGACTTCTTGGCTTTTGTCTAATTAGCTATCTTTAAATTTGAGGATTTGAGGTGAAGTCCCCTAGGCCTATGAGGTGGCTTTTTCACCTAATCAAGGAGAGAAACTTTTGAGCTTTATCCTTTGTCTCCTCAAAAAAAAAAAAAAGTTTTGTGACTCCATTAACACAGAACACATTCCTATATTGTCCCTACAGAAAGCATGGCATGAAGGGTTGTGAAATTCCTTGAGATGTACTAGAACAGAGACTGTGGTAACTCTAAAATACAAATCATGGGTGGCTTTAAGAGTATCCCAGGAGAGCAAGGCATTCCCAGGGCTGCAAGTATTCCATCATAAAGCATCAAATAACTTGAGAGTAAATGAATGGCAGCTCAAGTTGTCTATAGATGGTTTTTGAAAAGTTAAACTGGATGTTGGATCAAAATACTTGATGTGGTGAATATAAAAGGTGGCTTTTGATGAAGGTCATGGAAGCAGTTTGATTTGGATCAAGAGAAAATAAAACACTATGGGGAGTAATTCACAGAAAGGAACAGCCCAGGTTTTTCTTCTCTCAGCTTTTGATTATGAACTTCAATTCCATAAAGCATGGACAGTCATAAATATCGACCTCTCTGCAGGCTGAAATAGAGATAAAAAATAAATGCTAATAAGCAATTTAATTTTCTTCCCACAAAGAAGGAAACACAGCAGAATTTGGATTCTTACTAATAGACAAATGGCTGTGTCCTGCAATTCCAACTGAAAAATAGGGAAAGGTGACAACTGTATATCACATTGGTTTTTATTGGTCCTGTGTGCTTTTTAATATGGAAACTTCAGCCTGCACTGCACTTCTGGAGGTACCCAGTTTTTCTCTCCCTGTTGTTGTATTTGGGGTGATTTTGAGCCCCAGCTCCCTGGGCTGAGCCTGTTCTGACCAGGAGATGGAGACAGAGACTGGAGCTGCTGAGCCCCACCTGAGCAGTGCAGGAAAAACCCAAACACCAACCAAACAAGAAAAAAAAAATAAAAAAGGAAAAAACCCTAACAACTTAATCTGTCCAATAAGCATAAACAAAAGAAGTGTTGGGCTGTGTCACAGTTCAGCTTCCCTGGCTGTGCAGAAGTTGTGGAAGAGTTCCACAACCTCAGCTGAATAATCCTTTTGGTGTACATGGGACAAATTACAGTAATTTCAGGTGATTTGGGGGGAAGCAGAATTTTCCTGTGAATGCTTTGGCTGCCCTGCCTGGGCTGGGCTGGTGGCAGGGCAGCTGTGCAGGGGGACAGCCCCTGACCCCGAGGTCTCTTTGTCCCCACAGTGGGCACAGACGAGTCCCAGGAGAGCAGCATGACGGACGCGGATGACACGCAGCTCCACGCCGTGGAAAGTGATGAATTTTAACCTCCAAGAGCCAGTGTCTGAGCTTGAGTGTGTGTGACTGGTACTGTCGTGTTCTCCCCTTCCTTGGCATCCTGGGTTCTACATCTCTGAGCCAGCACTGTCGTTGTTCTCCACTGACACCACGAGTGCACCTCAGACCTGAACTTAGCAGAGTTCATGGCAGTGCAATATCCAGCTGCTGCTGAGTCTGACTAGTTGGCTCTTACACATTTATGGCAATGACTGAGGAGAAAATGCTGATTTTGAACTTCCCCCCTTGCTGGAAAAAAATATCATGGAAGACAGACTTGTGCTTTGATGTATGGAAGCCAGTAGATGTGGGGATAGTACTAATGACGAGGTGTCTTGTTCTTTTTCCAGAAATGTGTCTTAGTTTGGGTCTTTCTTGGTAAGCAGAGTGCTGAACCTCATTTCCAAGTTCTCCAAGGACAGTGTTGACAAACAGGCTGTTCAAGACTTTTGCATATTGTAGTGTAACTTAAATGCCAGGGAGTGTCAATGACCTTAAAGCTGCAGTGTCTCCAGTGAGCAAGCAGGACTGGGCGTGTGTCAGGCCACGTGAAACAGCCCTGGCCCTGCCCAGGGTGCAGCTGCAGGAGAATCACATTGCAGGATCAGAGCTTTCATCAGATGCTTTCATGTTCTAACCATGAGTTAATTTATTCACCCGGTTTTGGAAAGGTCAGTGTTTACTTTGTATTTCTGTCAGCACCACCTTGCTTCATTTTTCATGCACCCCTTGACTTGTTCTTCCCCTTTTGAAGAATAAAAATTAATAAAGGGAAAAAATCAAGAGAGAAATGTAGATACAAGTGTAATGTGAAACATCAAACCCTTAATCCTGTGAGAGTGGGAAGACTGGAAGCCTTAATACAATCAGAACCTTGGTCAAATGCATCAAATAATTGTCTCAGATCAGTATCTCCTTAGGTCTGCTATCACTTTGAAAACTATTTTGTAAAGTGTGGTCCAAGCAGGATGCAAAAATGTGCAATTATTTGTCTTTTTCCTTATTTTTTTAAGCTGTTCTTTCAGTTTCCCATTCTAGGAACACTTTCCTTTCCTCGAGGGTCTGTTTCTGAGAGGAGAAAGCTGTGCCACGTTAGTGAGTCCAAACTGCTCTCTGTAGCATTCTGCAGCAGCAATTGGTGCCCTTTGTGCAGTGATGATAAAGAAAGTGTATGATACAAGCAGTTTTAAAGAGCAATTTATGCCTAATAAATTGGGAATGATACAAATTTCATAGCACCGTATTTGTTGTGATCAGTCTTAATTTTTTTTTTTCCTTAATCTATTGGTTTTTAGGTGTCTCTTAGTTTCCTTCACACTTCAATTTCTTTTGAATTCTGTCTTTATCCACTTGGCACCTCTTCTGTCCCAGCTTCTCTCTGGTCAAGAGCCACACGAACACCTTTATCCTTTGAAAAATCATCCCCAAGTTCTGAGCAAAAATAGAATTCTGTGGTGTGGTGGGGTTTTTTTTTGAAGTAGGAAGATGGGCAGTGAAAAATAGGCTTCAATTCCCCTCAGAGGGTGAAAAATCCGTCTAAAATCTGAGGAATGAGAAGAGGTAAAATGAGCTGTGTGCACTTGGATCTGGGTCTGGGCCTGACTGGGGATTGATCTGAGGCTCTCTCAGGGTGAGGATTCCCCTCCTGAGGGCTCAGCGTTCCCTGGGGCTGCTCCTGCCCCTCTCCCGCTGTGCTTTCCCAGCACATCCCTCAGCACCTCCTGGTAAGGTCTGCAGGCAGCACTTGTGGAATGCCACTAATTACCGTGTTAATTGGCTTCCTTTCCATTCCCAGCATATTTTCTCATCAAAAAGCAAGAGGAAGCAAGTGCTTTTTACTTTTCCATAACAAATGTTGTTCATGTGGGGACCTGAGATCCAGGAATTGTGAGGCCTATTCTCATTTTTATTTGTTCCCTGAAAACTTCAGTGAAACTTTCAACCCCTTGGAAAAAGCTCTTAATTGAGCTGGGATGTTCAAAGGATGTTTGTGCTATTTGGAAGATTTAATACATAAAATCATTCCTGGCTTTGTATGGTCATCCTACCTTAAAGGTATTTTCTTTTTTCCCAAGAATCCAGGTCACATTTAGCCCTTGCTGCTATTTTACATTCTAAGGAAAAACACAAAATTAATATTGAAGGACTAAAAGTTGGCTCTTTGAAGAGGGACAGGGAGGAAGAGGCTGAGCATGGAGACACTGGCAGGGAGGTGAGCAAGAGTTCACTGAAGAGAATTAGGGAACTGTCATTTTCTTACAACAAACCTCTGGAAGAATGCAAAGTGTGGGTGTGGTGTTACTATTTGCATTGAAACAATGTAATTTGTCCTTTTTTTCTTAATTTTTTTTTTGCCTTTCCTGAATTTTTTTTTTTTAATTTCAAAAAATTGTACAGTCATAGGGGGAAAAATTCTTTTCTGTTAATATATTTGCAATTCATGAAAGGATGTGGAAAATCCAAATAAATTACTTTTAAAAGCAGGCTTAGCCCCAGCTGCTTTGGGTCAGGGGTGGGATTTGCCCTTCAGGAGTTGGGCAAGTGAGAGGTTGGGAAAGGTTTAAGGGCACCTTGGGGCGTGCAGGGCTCTTTTCTGTCCTGTGCCACCCGAGCCTCATCTGTCACAGCTTCCAGCTGGGCTGCAAGGTGCTGGCTGGAGTTTTGGGTGAGGTGGGAGGTGTGACAAGGGTGTGACACTGGGTGTGAGCACCTGGAGCTGCTGGGATGAGTCCAGAGGAGGCCCCAGGGCTGGAGCCAGGCTGGGGGTGCTCACCTGGACAGGAGAAGCTCCAAGGAGAGCTCAGAGCTGCAGAGGGACTGGGGACAAGGATGGAGGCACAGGACACAGGGAATGTGTCCTGCCACGTGTCCATCCACTGCCCAAGGCAGAGATGGATGGAATATTGGGGATGAATCCTTCCTGCTGCCCAGAGAAGTTGTCGCTGCTCATCCTCACTTCCCATCTTCAAGAATCTCTCAGGTATGGAGCAGGTTAGTTTTATTTTCTTTTTTTTTTTTTTTCTGCCTTCCATAGCAGGTCCTCACCCTGTGGCTGCAGCTGTTGTTGTTCAGCAGAGAAATTAATTACCACAGTCTCTTACACTTCCAGAGCTGGAGGAAAAGCTTGCCAGGAAGGAAAGGCTCATGGCTGTGCAGAAATTCCTCCTGCTGCATTGTAGGCATCTTGGGCTGAACCTTTTACCACTCATTTTTGCTCAACCTAATTGGTAATTTCTGAGAGCTGAGTTTGGTTGTACAGGCAGCACTGAGATTAACCCATTCCTAGCTGCTTCCCCCTGTTTTCCCCCGTGCTCCTGTTGCTCCTGGAGATGTGTTCCTGTGTCTGGGGCTTGCTGGGTGCAGTGAGAGCTGAGCTGTCCCTCTGCAGCCTCCCCCATGGGCTCTGCCTGCTGCTGGACCAGGCTTTGCTCAGGCAGGCTGAGCTTTAGGTGCCTCCAGAGAAAGGCAAAGCAATGATGAAGTTGGATTTTCCATCGTTCTAGAGCTGAATTACAGCTGTGTGCTGAGCACCAGGAGCTGTTTAGGAACACCTACATCTTACCAAGGCTTGTTCTGTTGTTCACCACTGACTGTGGTGCTGCAACATCTCATTTTCTGTCCCTCTGTCCAAGTCTGTGACTTTGTTTGAGAGCTGATCCATGAGCACAAACTGCTTTTTATTTTTAATGGAGCAGAACTGGGTTTTTCTAAGCCAAGGATCCCAGTGTTTTTAAACTTTGTCACCTCAGAATAAGGTGTTAGTTAGTCTGGATTTTTCTGGATAACCAGGAAAAACAACCTGGTTGTTTCATGTTCCCTGGGGAAGGAGAGCAAGGCCAGTGTCTGTGGGGACAGTGACTGCAGCTGCTCTGTGTGGGATCAGCATGGGCACCTCTCAGAGTGTGTTTGGAGCATCTCAAACTTCCTTCCAGTCCTCAAAGGGGCTGAGAAAAAGGGAGAGTAACTTTTTACACAGGCAGACAGAACTAGACGGGGAACCACTTTAACTGGGAGAAAATTAGATTATAGATGTGAGGAGGAAATTCTGTACGCAGATTTTGGCAAGGCCCTGGCACAGGGTGCCCAGAGCAGCTG